AGACATAGGGAAGCTAGACTCTAAGACAGTAAATTACCATTTCATTGGCTATCCAGAAAAGTCAAAAGGTTATCGCTTCTATTGTCCTGACAGACAAACGAAGTTTGTAGAAACAAGACATGCTGTCTTCTTGGAGGAAGATATGATCAGGGGGGGCATGGTAGCGCGTAAAATTAGTTTTAAAGAAAAACGGGTATACGTGCCCACTCTTATGGTTCAGGAGCCATTCTTTACGCTATCTGTTGTTGCTGTACCAACAGTGCAAGACACTGTAGTAACAACACCTATTGTTAGTTATTCTATGGCAACAATGAATGAACATGAGAAACCTGTCCTTCAGGATCCCCAAGAACCCATTGTCACACATGAGGAAGAGCAACAACAGCCTAATATAGAACAAGCGTCATCTAACAAGACCCCTAGAAGGTCTCAAAGGGTCAGGAGATCAGCCATTCCTGATGACTACGAAGTTTATGAATGTGAGGAATTTCAAATGGAGGGTGATCCCACCTCATTTGAAGAAGCCATGAGAAGCGCTCACTCATCCAAGTGGCTTGAAGCCATGGAAGATGAAATGAAATCAATGAAACCAATGGTATTTGGAACTTAGAAACAATTCCTAAAGGAGCCAAGACAGTAGGCTATAAATGGGTCTATAAAAACTAAACATGACTCTAAAGAGAATATAGAAAGATTTAAAGCGCAACTTGTGTGAAAGGCTTCACGCAAAGAGAAGGTATAGATTACAATGAGATATTTTCTCTAGTCTCATATAAGGATTCTTTTAGAATCATAATGGCGCTTGTAGCACATTATAATTTAGAATTACATCAGATGGATGTAAAGACGACATTTCTAAATGGGGATCTGGAGGAAAATGTTTATATGGCACAACTGGAAGGTTTTGTTGTGGAAGGAAAAGAACGCATGGGATGCCGTCTGAAGAAATCTATTTACGGATTAAAACAAGCTTCAAGACTGGTATTTGAAGTTTGATAGTACAATAAGAAAGTTTGGGTTTTAAGAAAATGTAGAGGACAATTGCGTTTATGCAAAGTTCAAGAATAGAAAATACATTTTCCTAGTCATGTATGTGGATGACATCTTGCTCGCTAGGAGTGATGTTAATCTACTACTAGAAACAAAAAGTTCTTATCCTCAAAGTTTGATATAAAGGATCTCGATGAAGCTTCGTTCGTCCTAGGAATAGAGATTCACCGAGATAGAGAAAATGTGGTTTTATGATTATCACAAAAGACATACTTAGAAAAAGTTCTAAAAAAATACAGTATGCAAAATTGTAAGTCTTCACCTACTCCTATAGTCAATGGCGACAGATATGGAGAATTTCAATGTCCCAGAAACCAATATGAGATCGATCAAATGAAAGTAGTTCCATATAGTTCAACTGTTTGAAGTTTATAGTATGCTAGGTGTACTCGCCCTGACTTAGCATTTGTTACCGGGTTACTTGGCAGATATCAGAGTAATCTAGAAATATAACACTAGAAATTAGTAAAGAAAGTTTTACGTTACCTACAGAGGTACGAAGGGTCTCATGCTAACGTACAAAAGATCTGATTCCCTGCACATAGAGGGGTATACAGATTCTGATTATGCGGGAGATGACAGAAAGTCCACGTCAGGATACATATTCACTCTCGCAGGAAGAGCTATATCATGGAAAAGCTCAAAGCAAATCATCAGTACATCGTCCATAATGTATGCCGAGTTTGTAGCATGTTATGAGGCCACAGGGCAGGTGAATTGGCTGAAGAAATTCATGCTCGGGTTGAAAGTGGTAGACGACATAAATAAACAACGCAAGTTATACTGCAATAATAATCCAGCAGTATGTTATGCTCACAACAATAAGTCAAGTGGTGCTGCCAAACACATTGATATAAAGTATTATGTTGTGAAAGATAAAGTCCGGGATCATATAATTAGTCTTGAGCATATAAGACTAGAAAATATGCTCGTAGATCCGTTACAAAAGGCTTACCACCCAGCGTGTTCAGAGAACACTTAGCCGGCATGGGTTTAAGGGAAAGCCTATGATTCCTGGACAATAAAGGCCTAGTTGAGAATCTGTTTCAAAACAGAGAGGTGCATTGTAGCTGTTTAATCTAATGACAATTGATCGTGACGATGAGGCACGCTCTATGCACTGATCTGTGATGGAATAGGAACAAGATAAAGTAAGTAAGTTGAGTTCAAGTCATAAGATGAGATCAAGGGGGAGAATATTAGATGATCTACGGCCAATTGGACCCTTGGATCCGCGCCTCGTTCCATGGTTGATGAGCCCCCGTCGTATAGCGCCATAAAAAGAAAGGTGGGAGCCGAGGCACAAGGTATGAGGTTCACCTGAGCCGCCAGACGACCCACCTACAGTCCCGAAACCCTAACCGATCTAAGAGGGGGTGCTGCCAGCGACGGGAAGACCGCCACCGGCCACCACCGCCTCTGCACCATTGCCACCGCGACAACGCCTTCACCGTCGGGCTTCACCACGCCACCGACGAGCAACCCCATGGCCAACTCGTCTTCTACGAAGGCGGCCGATGATTTGTACCCCCGCAACCTCTCTCTCTCTCTCCCTCTTTCTCTCTGTTTCTCGTATTAGTACATGTTCTAGGGTTTATATTTTATCAAATGTCAGTAGGTATGCTAGATCTATGGCCAATCTATCATACCACGCATCCATTGTCCCCTCTGTAGTGCTGTAGCCACATTCTGATTTTTCAGCCAAATAGAGATCTATTGTCTGGCGCGATGTCTTTTGGTGCTTGCCCATTGAGCTAGCTGTCTTTCCAGAACTCCACTGTATTATATTGCCGTTGCCAAGTTTTATGCTGGTGCATATTCTGAACAATATGTGCTTCTTCCGTGCTGCTCATTGCAGGCTGCAAGCCGGTCCAAGGTTTGCTTTTGGTGTTGCCCAACGGTGCCAGATCCATCCTAGTCTCGAGGCCCAAAAGTACATTTTTGAACGAAAAGACCTAAAACTCATCAGAGTGACAGTGCCTAAGGAATCCATGGATATGAACCTGCTCAGCGCCACTGCTTCTTCCTGGTTAGCATGAAGATTTCCAACTGATTTTTGCTAGTTCCTTCAAAGATTCTTCTAGCGCGGGGTCGGTGGATCTAGAGGTTGAGTGAACCGGGCCATACGGCGGGCGCATGGCGGCACGGGTTTGGCCGTTTGGGCGTGGGTGCACCATGATCCATGTACTTGGGGCTTTGCATGTGCCATGCATTTACTTTCAGTACAACCAGTCCGATGACCTCAAGGATTCAGAGTTTCTTTTTTCAAAGAGGAAGGATTCAGAGTGCCTAGCCGCCGTAATAACTAACTACTAGCCGGCATCAAACAATTCCTGACTACACCCGACTTTGAGGAACCAACTAGGCTCTGCTTCCACGAGACCAAGTCCTACACGTGGACTTAAAATTTGTCAAGTCCTGAGGCTGCGCCCCAATGAGAGGTAAACAACTAGTTTGACTCGAGATGTGGGATCAAGCTAGGTTCCCCACAAAACGCCTGCCTGACGCTGTCAGAGAGGCGTGCGTTTTCTACGTCCTGGATGGGAGAGCACGAACGGAACGGTGTTGTCCCTGCCGCGCCATGTGGTTCGGATCCGTTGACTAGTTCGCCTGACTGCATCGAACCTGTGGTTGGTGCAGTACATCGGGAGCCGATAACCGGCGGGCGATGACCCGCCGTAAACAAACAACTGGACGTCGGCAGATCTGCTTCCCTGCAACGGCGAATGAACCTGCAGCTAGTGGGACACATAATAATGAAAACACTCGATCGCCACGACGACATTTGATCAACCAACCAATAAGCAATAAGCCGAAGTGCCCAACACGTGTCATGCAGCCGAGCAAATGCGGATCCAGGATGAGATCAAGGAGGGGGCTAAGTAATGGACATGTTGATTGATAATGAAGATTTAACGATAATTTATGCTTGATGCTTCAGTAATTTAACAAGGAATTAAGGCTGCAACAGTGACAGTGATCAACATGTTTTTGCAGCCGAAGCAAATGAGTAGTAGTAAAAATCAACCATTAGATCCTGAGATAATCCGTGCATGCCGATCTATGTTGCCCCTTCAGCTGTAGGCATGATTGCAAATGCTGCAACAGTGACAGTGAGCTCAACATGTTTTTTGAGGAATAAGGAGGGGTTAAAAAAAATCTACTGGTTATCCCTTTTAGAACATGGCAATCTGAGTTGGAGTCTCGTGCTCAAAGGTATTTCTATATTCGGTTAATTATTCTTTCAGGCATATAGGAGATGCGTTCGTCGGTAACTGACCGTGTCTATGGTGAATGCATGGTAAGTGGTGACTCCATCAACGTTAGGATATGTACATTTATTATTATAGAAGTACATGTACACATGTATATGTGTGAGCGTTTATGTCTATATTGTATTTTAAAAAATTACGCTGCAACACTCAAGCTTTTTTAAAAAGATAATGGAAGAACATCAGGCTTCATCCCCACAAGTGAAGAATCAGATTAAAGTTATAATTATAGAACACAAATGCTTGAAGCAAAAAACAATCAATGCCAAACAGTTTGTAATCTTAAAGACATAAGGCCAATACCATAGCCGTAAATTCCAATGTGCGACAAGCAAAGCCGATATGCTCTTTCTTGTCATCACAACATTGCAAATTTGCAATTGACACAACGTTGCAATTCATGAGTCCAATGACGTACGGAGCCATGCAACACTCAAGCTGCACGTTAATAACGGTTGCAATGAGATTAATCTTCAGATTCTTGACGTGTAACTGACACCATTTCAATTGTACGTATACATGCTCTATAAAAGGCAGCACATGCAAGTGCACCATTTCAAGACCGGGCAAACAGACAACAACGACGCCCAAATGGCAAAAAATGATGAAAAAAAAAACAAAAAGTGGCGTGTGTATATTTCGATATGAGAGGACACGACACGCCTACACCTCCCTCCTTTAATTTTCTACATCCGGGTCAGTAAGTTTGAGCCCCCATGAGATGTCTTCGCAAGCACGGACATGGGGCAGCAGCACCCCGGTGTTGATGATCGTGTTGATCTCTTTCCTGGTGCACTCGAAGGAGGGCGCCCCGTGAGAGCACGGCTCCATGGACATGGCCCTGGTGCATGGCGGGTCGGGCGCCGTCTGGTTCTCCGGAATGAACATGAGGTACGGCCTGAGCCCGCCCAGCGCGTAGCCGACGTACCCGAACGTCGACCATGCACTGGTGACGATCTTGTCGGTGAGGCTGAGCAGGTAGATCTCTGCCGCCGCCTTCATGTCGTGCTTGTTGTGGTACCACTGCTGGTGCTCCTCGTGGCTGGGCTGGAACAGGCTCACCACCTCGCCGTCGACGGTCGCCGACTTCCAGTACATCTCCCGGATGTTGTCGTGGTACCATGCGCTCAGCCCGGTCACCAGAACGGCCTTCTTGGACCGCCGCGCGCCGGCGGCGGCCGGCGGGAGCTGCGGCGCTGCTCCTTCCGTGGTCACCACCCCCGGCAGCAGATGCTCCCGCGACGTGCACGCGAGGATCTGGTCCAGGACGTGCTGCGCCGGCTTGTCGGCGCCGGCGAATAGCACCCGGATCTGGATGCCCAGCCGCTCGTCCGCGTCCCTCAGGTACGAGTTGTAGTACCTGGTGACCATGCCCCAGACGTCGTTGGTCGGGTGCAGAAGGTACCGCGACAGGAGGTAGAACACCGAGTCCTTCAGCGGGAACAGCCGGTCCAGCTCCTCCTGGTACGCCGGGTTGAAGAAGAGCCCCGGCGCCATGTACTGGTCCGTCCGGATGATCGCCCACTGCATCCGGTGGAGGAACGACTCGCGGTGGTTGTCGCAGTACACGAGCCGGTTCGCCGGCGACGCGGCGTGGTCCAGGTGCAGGTACACGAACCGCATCCCGGACACGGACCCGCTCCGGTTCACCACCACGTTCCCGTAGCTCTCCGGCGCCGCCTCGTCCAGCTGCCGGAACCGCTTCTCGAGCGGGAAGTCGAGCGGCAGCGCCCACGTCGTCCCCGGGAACGGCTCGCAGAAGAGGTCCGGCAGGGTGTTGCCGTAGCCGGGGTCCACGAGGAGCACGCGGTTGGTGAGCAGGGCGTAGAGGAACACCGAGGTGATCGCCAGCATCCGGTTGCCGAGGCCCCTGTAGGAGATGAGCACGAGGTAGCTGCAGCCGTCGACGTCGTCGACGGCGCCGGTTTGCCCGGACCTGAGCCTCTCTGACGCTCTCATGTATGGCTCCGTGCCCGGGCCGCACCGCCGCTGCAGCGCCTCCTGCTCCCGCAGCCGCTTGATGAGGTACGGGGACGGCTGCCGGGTCATGTTCTTGCGGTAGTAAACGGACTGGTACCGGCTGGCGCAGGTCTGTTCGTCGAATCCTGGAAGCAGCAGGCCACCAAGAAGTGCGTCTTTCTTGGATTCTGCCAGTAGCAAACCAGAGCTAATTAAGCTGTGATCAATTCCAAACCCAAAATATCTTTATTTCCCTAGAAGCGTGTATATGACTGCATCACTTTCTAATCAAGCACACTTGTATTGCCTTTGTTGCATAATAAGAAGAAAAAAAAACTTCCGCTGGTTTGTACACCAAAAATACCCTTGATTTAAAATATGAACATAGTACTGATCATGGTGGTACATACTCATATATATATACCTCACACAAAATTATCATCGCAGTTTTCTCCCGAGTCAAAATATTTTAAGTTTGATCAAATTTGTAGATCAGGCTGTCAAAATTTTTACGACACATAGAATAGATACATTATGAAAATATAATTTTAATAAATTTGATAATACTTAGTTGGTAATTATCATCGTGTAATATAATTAGTAAGCTATATAATAGTAATCGTAAGCTTAAATACTATATAAAAAAAACTTTTTCTTCATTGGATCTGTATCTAATGGATAAAATTCTCCTTGCCTAAGACAAAAAAAAAACTTACTAGCGGCAACCACCAACACTCAACACTGATGGCTATATGCGCAATGAACCTTGAACCTATATAATTCTTGTCAACCAATGCAAAACCTTAATTGCACGCAAGACTAGAGTCACAATGCAATGCAAGTTAAAATAGTAAAAAAAAGTTAAAATAGAGAGAGAATTTCAGATCCTGGGCCCAGAAAATACTCAAAAGGCCCTGCTTGTGTTTTTTTTCGTGGTAGTCTAGTACCGTAATTTTGAATCGGAAGCTGCATGATACTACTGGACCCATGTGATATGTACGATAATGGTAAATTTTGAATCGGAAGCCGCACGCTAATTTCAAGCTTGTGCGTGCAAACAGCGGTGAGAATGAGATGGAGCGCCTAAGCGGAGTTGTGTTATTACCTGTTTGCCGTTGCGCGCCTACGCTGGCGACGGTGGGCCTGACCCACACCACCGGCTCGCCGAGGCGGCCACTGAGGAGGAAAAGAAGCGGCGGCGTGGTCATGATCAGGACCACCACGGTGGCACTCACCACGGAGCTCCATCGCCTGACGCCGCTGGCGGGTGCCTGCTGCTTGGCGTCCTTCTTCCCCGTCAACGGCGAGACCTCCTCGATCTCCAGCCAGCTGCTGATGGGCTCCTCGCCTCGCTCTGTTCTGCCGCAGCTGTCCATCTTGTCTTGCATTGGCTTGGCTAGTGTGGGCTCACTTCTAAGTTCTAACTAGCTAGCCTAGCTGCTGCTTCACTTGTGTACTGGCTAGCTGGCTACTAGCCAATGGTGATACGTTGGCGTGGAATGCCCGGCCCGTCGGCTCAGATAAATTAATCTACTACTACGGATCGGATCGCCATGCATGGGTTTTCGTATTAGGATCCGGACTCGACACTCGAGAGTCGGGAGTGCTGCTACACCTACTTGACCTAGCTAGCTAACCACTGTTAGCTGGTAAACGTGCATGAGATCCTAATGTAGTGGTGCAAAGCGGTGAAATGTGTAGGCACGTAATTGGCTTGGCTCGCCCGATCGCTCGCCGACTTCGTTGAAGCCACCCGGCCAATTTGTTAAATGTACAGAGATGCTCATGTACAGTTCTTTATTACAGTTAAAACGGTAGACGACCTTCGTTAGGAAAGATTAGAAGAAGCACTGGCTAGAAGCGCTGCACGTACCCCGAGCAAGACGGTGCACGGTAAACTGAAAGACAGCGCGCGCGCGCGTGGCGTCGTCGCGTCCCTCGAGTGCTGACCTCATGTAGAAAATGCATATATACCTCGTGCCCTTCCTCGCCGTGTCCCGTGTGCGATCTGCAAAGACCATTTCCGCCTCGTACATCTGCACTGCACCCGGGGCCGGGAGGGGAGGGCGCCATCGCCGCCATGTGCCTAGTTAACCATGCACCATTGGCAGTGCAGCCAGTGCTCCTGCTGATCTCTGTTCAAAAACAAAAACTTGCACCGACCGGCGACCCAGATACTATAAATATGCATTACTAGTCAATGGATCTGCAGTGGCAGGCTCAGTTGGCTCATCAGTCAGATGGCACAATTACTCACTCTACGACAAGTCGTACTTGACATTTTTATAGGCCTGAACATTTGCAATTTTCATTGCTCACTCAGTCACTCTACTGTTTGTTGAGGCAAAAAAGAAGGAACAAACGTGAGGCACCGCTTCTTCCCGCGCGTTCTACAGCCGAAGCTTTAAGGCAGTGTTCGGCTGATCTTATCAGCGAGCTTATTCGCTGGCTTATAAGCTACGGTATAGTATTTTTCTCTCTAAAAAAATCAGCCATACGAATCAGTACTAGCAGTTTTACAGCCAGCTGAACAAGCCTTTCGGGCCAAGCTAGTTTTCTCGACTCCATGTCCGTAGCGCTCCATGTTTTATCGGTCAGAAGTGCTCCGCCGCATGAGGGCATTTGGTGCGGCTCCGTCTGCTCGGCGCATGCCACACCAAACGTGGAGCCATATAGGAGAAGCCGGCGTGGGAGCCACACCAAACGGACCATAATGTTAGGTTTAGTCCCACATCGATAATTGATGGTGGGGGAGCATGACATATAAGGCGGGGACAGTTCTCACTATCAGACTATTTTTTTGGTTGAGTTAAACCCAAGTCTTGATATAGTTATGGGCTCTGCTGGACCTTGGCCCGAGGGGCGCCGGCTCGTGGGTATAACGAGCTGGGCGGTATTCCACTGCGCACTCTAACAAGTGGTATCTGTGTCCATGGTCAGAAAAACCTGAAAAATCTCAGGGGTCACATGGTGACGGGGATCCCGTTAACGCGCACTCTAACAAGTGGTATCTGTGTCCATGGTTAGAAAAACCTGAAAAATCTCATGGGTCACATGGTGACGGGGATCCCGTTAATGTCTCGAAGGTCACACGGGTTGTGTGTGACTTGGAGCGTTGAAGAGCGTTGAACTCGGGGCCTGGATAACGTCTTTCAGATATCACACGGGGTTGTGTGATGTGAATAGTTGGGTCCGATGTGTGATGGGGGAGATTGTTAGGTTTAGTCCCACATCGATAATTGTCCGATGTGTGACGGGGGAGATTGTTAGGTTTAGTCCCACATCGATAATTGTCCGATGTGTGACGGGGGGAGATTGTTAGGTTTAGTCCCACATCGATAATTGACGGTGGGGGAGCACAACATATAAGGCGGAGGCAGTTAGGCTCAAGGTCTTGATATGTTGTGGCCTCCGATGGACCTGGGCCCGAGGGGCGCCAACTCGTGGGTATAGCGAGTTTGGCAGTATTCCGCTGCGCACTCTAACACCTAAGACATCGTACTGAGTAGTGGTGTTTGTTGGATTCTTTTTTTTTAAAAGAACTAGGCGAGAAAGGCTGCCGGTTATATTAAAAGAAGAAATACTCAAATTGAGCAATACAACGACAACAATATCAAAAGACAATGAAGCTAAACTAACACATGTAAGTAACTAATTCAAACATACCGGCAATGCATGGCGGTTGACTGAGACCTCAAAACACGCCACAAAACCTTCCTGCAACATTGATCCACTCAACCACAACAACAAGAGGACACTATACAGCTATAGCCAAACCACGCAAGCATCGCATCCTTGCTCCGCTAGTCACCATGATGCACTACAATCACCAGTTGACAATGCCAACATGTCGACATGCCAACATTTTCTCTTTGTGTCGTAGTTATTGACGATGACCCACACCGAGCTAGCCACTTCAGTAGCCCCCTACAAGTCTTGTAGCCATCATGCCATTGCGTCCACTTGCATCGCTTGTCGACGCTATCCCGCACCAGACTAACCTATGCCACACAAGGCTAGCTGCCGCAATGCAGTGCAAGTTGTCAAGCTAACATGTGAGTAGCTTCATCTAGTCATCGCCAAGCCTACCTCACCCTCCAAGATCAAGGTACCTACAACCACTACTACGTACTGTAACCATTTCAGAGGCGACCATTTTGGATTTTCAGATGCCTCCGTCTCTAGCAAATGGTCACTGTTAATCGGCCATTTCCAAAGGTGAGCGCATTGACCACCTCTTTAATTAATATATTAATGAGGCTAGCATCTTAAGGTATCCGCCTCCGTTAATGAAGCATTAGTGGAGGCGGGCATTTCCCCCTTGGGTCCCCTTCCATTAATAGAGGCGGTGCCCCATTTGTGCCCGCCTCTTTTAATCTAGGGACCCATCTCCTAAAAATGTTTTTTTGTGGTAGTGGCTACCTCAGTGAAGAAACTAGAAGAGTCACTAGATCATCCCGTTGTCATTAGAGAGTCTCATTGCACGGCAACGCCATCGCTATGCGGGACTGCCCGTCGCCACACCTTGCAGAGCACATCACCAAAGCACATTTGCTGGTCACCCTCCTCCTGCACCGGTCTCCTTGCCAACTTCGCGGTCACAACTTCCGTACCGTCTCCCTTGAACTGCCAGACAGAAGCATTGTTTTCCATCACTATGCCCACTCGCTCTTTTGGCCCCCTTCTGCCACCCAGGACCCCCACACCTCTAATCCTCGATCGGGTCTCCACCATCTTGCACTCAATACCCTCGGCACCACCATGGAAAACACCAGTCGCCATGCATCGCCTTGCACCTCACCACACATGGCCGCACCAATGGCAACACCGGCCATGTAATCACAACTCTATGTCCCACCACACTACACCCCTTCTCTGCTGTGCCACCGCTCTTTCGCACCATATCTATGCTACGCATGTGTAGTCGGCCTCTACATTGTAGCTATATTATGCACAAACGAGTCCACGCACCGTCCATGAACGAACACCGCACTGATGTTGCACCGCACATGCACACCCTCCCGCGCCTTCCTTGAAAATGCCTTTGCATCGCTGCTGCACGTACCACACCCGCTCAACCTCCGTGCCAAAGCGCCCTCCGCGCCTCCACATAGCCGCTGATGGTCCTCACTTGGCTGTCTCAGTCCCGGACGATTCATGTGTAGTCACCATCGTCGTGCGAGCCTTGGCTACCACTGCCATCGTAGATGCGCACCCAAGCCCGGGTTGTATCGCTTCCACTGCGGTGGTTGGCGCAAGTGCCCAAGGACGCTGCTGTGCACTCGAGCTCATGCTATCACGCCGAAGGACACGGCGGGATCTCCACTGTGGTAGCCAATCCGTTTCGTGTTGTAGGCCCTTGCTTGGTGTCCTCATGGCCACTGCCTCCACCACCATGTGCACCGTAGCACGGAACACACACCATTTGCTCACCTTTTGCCACCGCTGCAGAGGGCAGAAACACCTGGTCCGGCGCGGCAGCACACCAGATCCGCTTATTCCTTACATGAATCTAGGCCACTGTGCCGCCGCCACACATCTCGGTTGTCAAAATCTCGAGCACCAGGGTGCGTGGATGGTGGGGTGGAGGAGGGAGAGCGAGCAGGAGCTCGGCAACAAATTAAAGGTCCCACCGTTGCCATCCTCACAGCCACAAGGGTCTAGACCAGAGTTGAGAATTTCAGTCGAAAATTAGTGAAAATCGCCGAAAATCGTTTCTCTCGGCCAGGCCCGGTAAAAGGCCATGCCGACCTTTCAATCTCGGCCTTTTTCGAAATTGTTTTTGGCCTATGCGGCACATTAGTCCATCCGAAACCATATAAATACCCAAATGAAACCATAGCTGGCTGCAATTTTATTTCTCTCTCCTCTGCTCAGCCACCGCATGCCCGCCTCTCTTCCTTGGTCCTCTGTTCTCGATTTGGTGTTGTGGTCTCTTTAGCGGCTGCCATCTGGCATTGGTCTTCGTATGCGTGGCCTTCTGATGGCAGTGTAGCACTGCAGTATCAGGCTAGTCTTCTGATGCGTGGAATCCAAATCAAGATGCTCGTGTACAGCACTACAGCTACAGCATACCGGAGTCGTGAAGGGTGATGAGTAATGCTTATGCTTGCTGGCCAGCGAATGGGTTCTCCATCAGACATTCCGGATTTGCTGTTTGATTCGTTGTACATGTACAAAATGACGCTATAGGAAGATACATGTTTTAGCTTTTTAGAAATTCTTTCTGGCAGTGGCACAAACTGAAATGCTTGGAACAAGTTACTGGAGTCCTTTTCAACATTCGGCGTACTTCAAATATCTTATGTATTATTGAAAACTTGTGTTGAACTGTGGCTCGACCAAGAAAAATGTTAAATTTGTATTTTTTTTTTGT